AACAAGGTTCCTTGACTGTGCGCTCAGCAATGTTCAATGGACAGTTCCTCTTTGACAGACCCATGCATGTGAAAATGGTGAGTTGTGCCTTTCTGCTTCTTCCATGGGGGCTCCAATTGTGACATCACTCTAAAAACCTTTGTTTGGTCTTAGGATGACAAATCAATTCCTCATGATGATTTCCGTGCAGCAGATAGCAAAACACCACAGTTGCCCCGTGAGTATGACCCTTTTCTTTGCTGTTTATTAATATGGATTTGGATACCAAGCAAAGACTTTTCAGAAAGGGCCTCTGTCTTCAACTCTTTATGGCTGCAGTACCATTCTGGAGCAACCATAGCCCTTTAAATTTATGTAGAGATTTTTGCTTTTGAAGGTGGACTTGGAGGGATCGGAATGGGACTTGGCCCTGGTGGACAGCCAATAAGCGCAACCCAGCTGAGCATGGGTAGTGGAATGGGGAGTGTGGCTCCAGGAGGTTAGTATACTTTCTCTTCTTGATCTTGGGACAAGGGAGAAACTACAGTATCTGCACTTTTATAGAAGGTTCTAAATGTAGCCTGACATGTGTTAGGCCTCTGAACTTAGAGCAAGGTAAAGGAAAAAAAAGTAGATGCTGGCACTTTTTATGGTACTCTTTCTCCCTAAAATAGCCTTCCCAATTCTATTCTTTTTTTGGACATCCAGCTTTTAAAATTCAATATCAGTGTAGTTTAACAGCTACTTTATTGCTGGTGTGTGTGTGTGTGTGTGTTTATATTTATTTGCGGGGGGAAGAGAAAGAGAGAGAAAGATGGGGTGGATGAGTGAGTATATATCAGTAATTTGTTTGCTGTATTATAGATTTCTATAGAACTATGCAAAATAATAAAAAAAAAGCTGTAATTCTGCATTGGTTCCTTTCATATGTTTTAAGGAATGGGAGTGGATGGACCAGGCTTTGGAGGAATGAATAGAATGAGTGGAGGTAAGTATGTTCACCTCTTACTTTATTTCTATGCAAATGTTATGGCATTCATAAAAAGCTCTTCACTCATGGTTCAGGTGTTGGTGGATTCGGTGGCATGAAAGGCATGGCAAATATGGGAGGATTTGGCGGAGTCAACCGATTGGGAGGTAGGCAAATGTTTATTCATTAAAATACAAAACATTAAGCTATCTGGCAATATTGTTAAAAATAAAATTCTTCTAGGAATGGGAAGCGTAGATGATTTCAGAGGGAACATTGGCAGTGGAATGAGTGGTGGCATTGGAACGGGCATGGCTGCTGGTATGGGAGGTAAGCTTAGCTTTATTTTACATGTGGTAATCAGGCTAGCCCATTCTGCAAAGTAAATTTTTTAATTGGGCTATTATGGCTTAGGAGGTTATAATAAATGATGTAGAAGGGGACTGCCTTTTGTTTAATTAAAAAAAATCTTTTGTGAAAAGTAAGCTTCAGCAATCCTTTTACAGTGCTGCCTAATCTTTGAGAGGCTTCTCATTCACAATTAGTTTTTCATTCTCCAAGTTACCACTTCTGAAGAGTGATTTGTACTATCTGAACATCTGAATAACGATTCATACACAGCCCAGGTATCAAAGATCCGTATGCTGTGTTTTCCTTGCAGAAATGTTCCGTGGTGGAATGGGAGGAACTATTGATAGAGACTTTGGTCGAAGCGATATGGCTTTGAACCGTGGATTTGGAGACTCCTTTGGAAGAATGGGTATGGCCCTGGGCAAATTCCCCCAGAATCTAATATCCAGCATGGAGCAAGCAAGTCATTTTCACCAATGAGCATTATGCCACTTCATACTCAATGTCTTTCTTTTATCTCTCTTCTCAGTACGGTTTTCTAAAAAAATATTGTGCCTTCACTCCAGAGAGTGAAACGATGCAGGATCTTATTTGTACTATATTTTTGAGACAATAATACTAAGGCAGAAACATGAACGTTTTAATCTTAGGAGGTGCTTTTGCTACTTAACAGCATTACTGACTATTTCACTTAATTTATATGCCAGAATAATTGTAATGAATCTTCTCTTGTAGTATTTTTTTAATTTTTAAAAATGTAGATATATTTGAGTAGTACACTCAGAAGAAGTATATGGGTAATTTAAAAAAAAACCCTACAGAGGTTTGGAAGAACTCCCTAGCTTTAAGTGAAATGGATTTATGTAACTTCATTTTTTTCTGTCCTCATTTAGGTGGTGCAATGGTTGGTGGTTTTGCAGGAGGCATGGGAGCTTCTAATATGGGCCCAGTAGGATCTGGAATGAGTAGGTTGATCTGTTCCAACAAAGAATAAATCCAGGTTATAGAAAGGCTTCTTGGCACTTAAGGTGGATCTAGGAAAATATCAGCTGTTGCTCCCCTCTCCCCAGCCAAAAAAAAAAAAGGATTTCCTAGAGTATGTAGCTTAGTTATAATTGGAGTTTATTAAGATCTATGATGTATATATCTTGTGGCTGCTTCTACTTTTAGCTTTTAGAGGATTTTAGAAATGAAGCTTTCTGTGAATAAGTTTTATTCCTTAGAATCATGTATTTCTAGTGCAACTATAGAAATAATTGATTTGAGTAAAATTGTAGGAACAGTTCTAGCTGTATGATATTTCAGATGCCTCTAACTTACACAGGGGGTTTAAATTTGTAAAAGGAAGATTCATTGAGTTGTCATGCATTGCTGTTTGAAAAATGAAATGGCTGTGCATTAATGCTTTGTGCTGCAAGTGTGATTGTATGGCTTCACCCATCCTGGAAATATTCCAGTTCTTGCTCTTTGAGGGTTTTATGTATTGACAGTTCCATGCTCATGAGAACCATTATGCTTATTTTGGGAAAATTAGGTTTCTGATTAATGCTTTTTCATAATAAGTACAAAGGAAGCTGGCTTTATATTTAGCCAGATGTTAGAAATTGAATCTGAGATCTTTACCATGTGAAGGGTGTGCAGTTTCACTGAGGAACAGTCCTTCCCTCTATTGAGCAAATAGTAAGCACACAGAAAGGTCTAAATATAGTATGCATGCTTAGCATGCTATGTGAATCTGTGATGTCTGGCCTCCAACTGCAGAATAATTAGAATATTTGGAAGGCTGCTATAACAGAACTAATAATATCGCATGGAGCGAGCCTCTTTTTGGAATCAGTAGATTACTGCATGATTTAATGAGTTTACAACAAAGAAGTGGCTTTCACTAGCCACAGGGCATTGACAACAGTTGCCCACACAAATTACCCTTAATTATGGACTAGTAGAAACGGCCTCAAAATAGACTGGGTTGAAATTCAGCCTTGCAGTGTTGGCAGCTTCCAGTTCACCGGACCACCCACTGATGCAGCCATAAATTACTAAGAGGTTACTAGAAGGACAATTCATTAATCAGTATAATTAACAAGAACTACTTAGCCTCCTCTGCTGAAATTCCTCTGCATTTCCCTTTGCATAAAACAAGCTTGTTTATATATGAAGTGAAAACAATCTTGCTTACATATGAAGTGAAATTTCACTTGATTTTTTTTCTGGGATTCCTAAAACACACACACTCACTCTCTCTCTCTCTCTGTTTTTCTCTGTATTTGCAGGTAGTGGAATAAGTGGGATGAACAGCATGACCGGAGGAATGGGAATGGGAATGGGGATGGGAATGGATCGGATGAGCACCAGTTTTGATCGAATGGGACCAACCATGGGAACTGGCCTGGACAGAAATATCGATATGGATCGAGGATTTGTGCCTGGCCCAATGGGAAGTGGTGTGAGAGACAGAGTAGGCACCAAAGGCAACCAGATATTTGTTAGAAATGTAAGCATATGAATGAAACCAATTAGCAGCATATTCTCTTGCTTTTCCTCCTTAAGGTTACGATATGCTTATCTTCATTTCAGCTTCCTTTTGACTTGACCTGGCAGAAGCTTAAGGAAAAATTCAGCCAGTGTGGTAAGTATTAGGCACAAATAACGCTGCCTCTCAGAATTAACCAGCCACAACAAATGTGTGCATCAGTGGCTTTCCGACCCATTCCTCTCTTCTCTTCTCTGGAACCCCTTTATGTCTGCCTTGATCGCATGTTGCAGAAGATGTGGGCACATGTGCAGGCATCTTGGGATGTTGTGTTCCCTTGCAGTGCTCGATTGAGAAGAGCTGCCCCTTCAGAGAAGCTTGAGTTCATTTCAGCACAAACTCGCTCACTAGGCCATGAATTATGTGTCAGATGTATTGACAGTTCTCAGGTTCTGGACTACCACTGTGATTTCATAGGGTAGTATGGTGCCCTAAATTATGGTTTGTTGATCCAGATGTGATTGCCCAGACTGAGGTTTTCAAACCATGATTCAGACACTGATTGGGTTTAGTTAAATTGCAATAATCTATAGTACTTGAAATAATGGTAACTTTGGTTCATGGATACTTCTAATCTGGTTTTTTTTTTGCTTAGTGTGATGTGCAAATTATGCTGTTAATGGCATATTCCTAAATTAGGTTTAAAACATTCTTAGCTTGGTGATGTATGTAAACATAGCTGTTGGATGACATGGAAAAATGGAGACTTGATAAGTAAGATCTTCCTTTTAGGTACCTCTAAAGAGTGCAATAACTTAGCTCTTGACATTCTTACAAAATAGACATCTGGTGGTAAAATTCTTTTTGTGGCATAGCCTTTTTTACATTCTGGTCAACAAATAAGTTTAAATGTATTTAATTTCAAATTGAATCCAGCTTCAAAACAAAAATCTGTTTTTATTGACTTTTAAAGGGAGTATGGTATCTCTCTTAATCTTTCCTGAAAAGGTTGGGTTTTTTGTTTGGTTTGAGTAATTTGTACAAAGAGAAAAGTAATTTAGCAATTTCTGCCAAAAGATTTAAGATGTAATTTATTTCTTCACTTTCATGCCTGCTATCTTCAATATGTCGTAACGCATAGCTAAAACTTGTTTTGGTACATAAACATGAATAGCTTTAAATGTGTTAGTGTTTGGTAACATTTTACTAGAAAAGTATGTTCTTGTGTTTATTCTAAAACCTCAAAAAGCAAGGTTTTTAATGTATCTGTTCTTCTTATAGTGGTATTTATATATAATTTTAGGCATTAAGCTTTTTTTTAAAGTGGCTTCTGTTTTTCTCTCTCAATGAGACTGGGGGCTCCTAGCTCAACTAGAAGTGCACCAAGAGGGCTTATCTTACCTTGGTCTTGTTCTATTTATAAGCAGTGCCTAAGTATTGACTCTTAATATGCAAAAGTATTTAACATTACTCAGCAAAGCCATAGGTTTCATTACTTGGAAGTACCCGGGCAAATGAAACATTAGAGCCTCAAAGTGAACTAAAATGTTTCAGTTCCATTTTACTTCTGGGGTCAGGAGAGAATTTTAAAAAATCCAAGGGTACAAACAAGATCTATCTATTATTAATTAGATAATAATTAACTGAGGAAAAAATACTTGCTTTGAAGTGATGGAAGTAGGGAAGATGATCTTCAGAGCAGGAAATGTGGGGGAGTGAATCAAAAGGGAAGGGATAGCTAAAGGAGGTGGCATGTGGCTGAGATGAAAGGTGAAGCAGGCAGGAATACAGTGGCATTTCAGGTGATGCAGAAATCGGTGCATCCTTCAGTGTGACTACACTGTCACATGCTATGGCAAAAAAGAAGCTGCTTGATCATTTAATCTTGTCTGCATGATTTGGTTTGATAACCCTAGCTTTCCCAGAGCGCGTAAACCTGATTTTTTAAATGATGGTGATTATGGGATTTCTATTTCTATCTGCACGTAGTTGGCTAAACTGAACTTTAACTTTTCAGGTCATGTAATGTTTGCAGAAATAAAAATGGAGAATGGAAAATCGAAAGGCTGTGGAACGGTCAGATTTGACTCACCAGAATCAGCAGAAAAAGCCTGTAGAATAATGAACGGCATAAAAATCAGTGGCAGAGAAATTGACGTACGTTTGGATCGCATTGCATAATTTATAAGTACATGTTGAGGAACATTCCTTTAGACAGTTTACTGTAGCTCCTTCCTCTCTCCCCTTTCCCAGTAAGTCATTTTTAGTAACACTGTATGCTTTACTTGAGTTGAAGAAACAATACTTTTAAAAGACCCCCCCCCCAGCCTTTAACAGTATAGTGTTTAATATACTGTGTGAATTTGTTAATTCTTACTACATTTTGATTTTTAAGAGAACTTTAGTAACACTGTATGCTTTACTTGAGTTGAAGAAACAATACTTTTAAAAGACCCCCCCCCCAGCCTTTAACAGTATAGTGTTTAATATACTGTGTGAATTTGTTAATTCTTACTACATTTTGATTTTTAAGAGAACTTCCTGACTTGTTCAGTGGCCTAAACCGCCTCATCTTCTCTTGTAGACAGAAGCTGTGGCTGTTTAATGCCTCTTTAAAATCATGCTAAGTGTTTCTAGTCATTCAGTTTAAATGAATGGTTCTACTGTTTTTAATAAAACAAGCCATTTTCTCTGTTTAATAAAAGTCTGTATAGTGGAATTTGTTTTTTGTCAGCTTTGCCTGTCTTGCAATTGTAAAGCCTGCGGGTTTTCCATTTCTCTTCCCATCCATTTGTTTTACAAGCTTTTGTAGTTGTTGCTGCCCTTATTAATTCCTGATCGTGTTCAGCATTACCTTGATTTTTTTAATGTCATGATGTGGATTTTTCTCTAAAGAAGTTTTACAGCCCATGGAGATTTTGGATTTTTTATTTCTTGACTAAACGAAGAGACTGACCCTTTCATTCCTTATATATACCTTTTCATTATTGTATTTTTTTTACAAAACCAAAAGCCAAACCCACTATTTGCCACAGTTCTTTATAGGATTGTTCCCTATGACTCCAAGTTCATACAGAATTGATAACGTGGCAAAGGCTAAGTACATCAGAAGGCAAATGACTCCTAGCTTTTTGTCTAATTTCCAACCATTCAGATGAACAGCCAGAAAAATAAAAGCAATGGAACAAATGAGAGAAATGGCAGTGTAAGTCAGTCCGCTGCTGTTCACTAGGACGGGACCTGATGGGTCAACAAAGGCGGTTTTTATAAACCAAGGTAATCCCAAACACAACAAATCAAATACATTGGATCCTACAATGTTCGACATCGCCATATCTGCTCTCCCTGCAAGATAAAACACATTAAACATGTCAGTCTTAAAGAAATTTACTGCAGTATTTTATGCTTAAAAGCCACCTGCTATACCTTGTCCACAAGACCATAATGTGATCTTAACAAGTTTGAAAATACCTTCAAATCAATGTTAAGAATGACATTGCTGGACTCATCCAAAATAGAGTGAAATTAGTATTTTGTCTCTTAACAGTCACTTAACACTCACTTCCCAAGTAGAACAGGAGCCAGCAATTTTTAGGTAAAAATTGGACTTGCAATTCTGAATGTAGTTGGCTTGTTAATCTAGTGAATTTAAACCCAGCATAAGTTGCGGTGTCTAGATGCCAAAAACTGGAAAAGACATCACATTTCATCATAGGCTACCAGCTTTGCAGTGGTTTCGGCTTTACAGACACAAAGGGCTTACCTCTTTTAGCCACAAGGACGCTGGCAATTGTATCTGGGATGCTCGTTCCAGCTGCTAATAGCGTAAGGCCCATTATAGTTTCAGGAATGTGCAGGGTTTCCCCTGTAACCAGAAAAAAGCAAATGTCTCATTTCCTCAAGAATGAATTAGGAAGGAATCACAGTGATATTTCAGGGGGTCACATTTCAAGATCAAAATAACCTGATTAGTATATGGTGGCCTAGTGGCTAATGAACTAAGCTATAATTTTATTCAGAAAACAGGCAACCTCTCAACTGCATGAACAGAACAGAGGAAGCTTTTTTAGTTTTGAAAAACTTGGTCACTGAATACAATGGAAGGCTATGTAACCTTTCCTTCGAATACCAAAGAAGCCTGCTATTCTTGACAATCGCAGCCCTTCTTTGGAGTAGCTATAACCAGCCTAATCCCTTCAGTTACTTTGGCATCTTTATCACATGAGCTGTTTGAAGTCATATGAGGCACTAACCTCTCTCAATAATCTACTCTTGCGGGGGAAAAAGCCCACTTGCATTCCCATAGAAGGAGGGGTGTGGAATCTGCTGATAATCCTTGCTCTAAAAACTCTAAATTCAGATGAAAAATAAGGTAGACATTTAGTTTGTAGAAAGTGGTGAAATGCAGTCTTTACTGCTGTAAAATGTATTTTAATGTGAGGTACAAGTTTTTACTTGTGTTTCCTATGCTTAAAAATGAATTAAATAGAGCCAATAGTGGCTTACTACTTAAGGCAAACTCTACATTTATTTTCCATCACTTGTTTCCTGTTTATTTCACTTGCATAATGATAGATGAGAAACAATCTAAAGGTGGCTTTGAACTTTGGATAGGCTCCTTGTAGGTACATAGTTGCAGGCAAATGTGGAATCTTTGAGCCAAGAACTATAGCCCAGCGGCGCATGGCATCTGATGTGCAGAAGGCTGCCAGTATAGCAAATACTGGGCTGGAGGAACACAGAGTTCATGCACCAATCTAAGCCATAGTGTTTTTTATTTTACACGTGTAAGCCCATTTCTTGTTTCCTTGCTTAAAACATTTCCTATCCAGATTAACTCTTAATGGAACATACTACTTGTCAGTCTCCATGGGTGCTAGGTTTGTTTTCCTTTCACATAATCCCTTCATTAGAATGGTTTTACCTTTTATCTTAAGAGTCTGTTCCTGTAGTGGTTTGCATCAGATGCTCAAGTAAAACCTTTCAAACTCGAGGTGTGGGTTACCTTCCCCAGGAGCTAAGGGGAGCTGCCAGATTCAAAACAGTCATATACTTTGGAACGGGCAGACTGGCCTGCCATGACACCCAAGTGATTCTTTTTAAGAAACATACCCTTGGGTGCTCTAGACAAGTACCCAACCCTCAAACAGTGCTGTGTGAATATCGGGCATTAACTCTTAACCTCTAATCTGCAACTTCAAGTGTGATCTCTGCGAAAGCATCACTGAAATCAAGTCCTGTGTTTTAAGATGCTTTTGCTGTGTTGGCTGTAGAAGGCAGGCTAATACAACTAGGATGTAAACCTACCCACTATGGTTACCATCCATACAAGAATGTATGTAAAAGCAGAAATCCACACTGCTGACATGAAGAAGGACAGCATGAACCACTTTTTCCAAAACGGTTTTCTGCAGTCTGGAGTCGTCAAATAAAGTACAGTAATGATGGGAAGGGCGATTACCCACAGAACTCTCTTCAAATCTGCTTCAGGCACGGTGAACACACTTGGAAGGTCTGTCAGATGACAAGAACCATTTAAGAAATGAGATCCTGATGTGCATATGTATGTGTGTGTGTATGTATATGTGTATACACACAGACACAGAATTTTGATGATAATGCAGCTATTTTAGTTCTTTACAAAGTTATCTCTATTATAAATTTATAGGGCTTCATTATTCCAGTACATTTTTCTCTATATATAAAAATCTGAAAATTTGCAGTGATTCCTGACGTCTTACAGTAAAGTTAAGGCGTCTTGGAAATTAAACAACAGTGTAACTATAAGCAAAAAGTAGGTATTTGTCCTTGGCTTGCCCCACAGGTATCTCAGGAGCCAATGTGTGAATGGGGGAAATGTACACTTAACACAACCTTTCTCTGCATACTAGTCATGGCAGTCTTGACCTATTTGTTATCAGACATTTAGATACCTTTGCATCTAAACTATTTCAGGCATTTGAAACATATAAAGATGAATAAAAGAGATACTACTTGCCTTGTAATTTGGGGTTTATGATTCCAAATCTATCTACCCATCCATCCATCCATCCATCCATCTTAGCAGCTCTTGCAAC